TATATATATATATATATATATATAAAGATCTTTAAAAGGAAAAATTAGAATATAATTTTTTATTTCTTTGTACAATGAAGGGAAGGAATGCAACAATAGAAGAATTATCCTTGATTCATGCAATAGACCACATTGATGATATCAAAAGGACATCAACTTTAAAACTCAAGGAATTGCAAAAGCAAGCCTCAGATTACAATTCTGTTTATCTTCATTTTGACACATGGTCAAGTGCCTGCATATCTGCTGGCTCTCTTTTACAAATAGTGGACGCGGTTTTGAATGGAGAATGCCAATCCGGAGTAGCCATTGTAAGGCCGCCTGGACACCATGCTGAAAAAGACATTGCATGTGGTTTTTGTATATTTAATAATGTTGCTGTGGCTGCAATGTATGCTATACAGTTTTACCATGTAAAGAGGTATAATACTAAATAATTTGGCTTTTTAAACAGCAATAAAAATAACTTAGATTAGAAAAATATAATATACATTTATTATAGGGTGCTAATAATAGATTGGGATGTGCATCATGGAAATGGAACGCAATCTATTTTCGAAGAAGATCCAAAAATCCTTTACATCTCTGTTCATCGTTACGATAATGGCAACTTCTTTCCAAATTCTAAGCTTGCTAATTATACAAGCACTGGTTTAAATGCAGGCGAAGGATTCAACGTGAACATACCGTGGAACAAAGTAAGCAATATTATATTTATTTAAAAAATATGTTTCATAAGCAATTATTTATATATACAGTTTCATATAATTTAAAATTATTGACTATAAATTATTGTGAAAATTATTGACATTCATTACATTTAACAGAAAGGAATGGGGGATGCTGAATATATAGCAGCTTTCCAGCAAATTGTAATGCCTATCGCTTATCAATTTAATCCAGAACTAGTCCTGATTTCGGCCGGATTTGATGCCTGCATTGGTGATACACTTGGAGGTAAATCTATTTTAACATCAAAATCAGTTATCGTTTGTACTTATCTCAGATATTACTTTTGAAACATATAAAAATTTGTCAGTTTCCTCACCATGTATTTATATATATGGTATATAAATGATATAAAATGTATTCATATTAAAAAAATTTTTTTATATATATTTTAATAACAGAAAAATTTGATTCCCAATAAATTAATTATTTTTTATTTTTCAGGTTGTCTCGTAAGTCCAGAACTCTATGGCCATTTAACCCATTGGCTCTCATCCCTGGCCAATGGTCGTATAATCCTAAGTCTCGAAGGAGGTTACAACATCAACTCCATCTCTCATGCGATGACTATGTGTACAAAGGCACTCCTGGGTGATCCTTTACCGATGTTGGATCCTAATCTCATTCCTTGCACTAGCGCGATCAATTCCATCAATAATGTACTGAAGACTCACAAGAAGTTCTGGCCCAACCTGCAGTATGGAATGTCCTTACCAAAAGAGAGACTACTTTCCAAATTTAAGACAATTCCTAACAAACGTGAAGAGCAAGAAAAAAATGCGGATAAATTGAAACAAATATTTATGGAACCAAAGATCGCCTTAGAAGGAATTGAGAGCGAAAAACTAGACTTGAATCTGGCGATTGATAAGAACTGTTTGAATTTAGTGACGGACGAGGAAATTTCGAAGTTAACGTGCGAAGTAGAGAATATTAAAATAAAAAATTTCGAATTACACGCGATGAAAAACGAAGCGGTTGAAGCGAAAAGAAATTCTGAATTGAAGCAGAACGAAACGAAAAATCTGGATGGTATACATCGAATTCATTTTAATTAATCTTAATAAAAGTAATTATTGTGTCTTAACTGAGAAATATATTTGATTGGCAGTGTCACAAAATATACAAAAATGTGTGAACGAGACGCATCAATCAAGAGGTAACCAACAAGGAAATTCTGACATACACGAAGACCGCGATGATGAAGGAGCAGCATCTTCACAATCCGGAACACGACCCATAACTCTATCGGAATATCTCTCTGACAATCTGCAGGTGAAATATTTATTATTATGATATAAAATATTTTTTTATCAATAACTTCTTTGAAATTATTGATAAAATAATTAATAATTGATTGTTGTTATATAATAGTGTAATATATAATATTATATATACTTATTATTTTAGTATAATGCAGATATATAAATAAAATAATTATGTATTTTTTGCTGTATTTAGGCTCTGACGACAGGAGAAATGTTCGCGATCGTGCCCCTGCAGGACTGTCCACATCTGTTCACAGTCAACGAAGTTCCTCCAGGTGGAATTGATGTAACTACACCGTGTGTCGAATGTGCCAGTATCGCAGAAAATTGGATTTGCTTGCAGTGCTATACTGTGCATTGCGCCCGCAGTATTAATCAGCACGCGATGCAGCACGCAGAAGAGTTCGAGCATCCCATCACGCTCAGCTTTAGCGATATTTCTGTCTGGTGCTACGGTTGCGAAGCTTATGTCGATAATCCTGTGAGTAGTTCCTTAACATTAAAACGTTTTTCTTCGATAAGATAATTAACTTTTATAATAAGCTAGTATAGTAAAAATAGTACTGTTTATATCAGAATTTATCTTTTTTCAACAATCTTTAATGCATACTGCATTTTTAGCGATTATATGCGGCAAGAAACGCAGCTCATCAAAGCAAGTTCAATGAAGAACTTCCCTGGACTTATAGCGAAAGTGCATAAACATACCTTAAGTAATTAAAGAAATATATTTTAAATAGTATAATAAAAAATATACAATATGTTTTCAATTTTTAGAAGTATATAATAACGTGTATTGTATACAGATAAATGGCAATGTTTTTATAAATTAAAAACTGATGTGTTAGAAAGAAAAAAAAAGAAAAAAAAGATATAAATCAGGGATAGTATCGAGGATTACTCGAGGAAATAATCAAACTATAAAAATGTTAATAATGTACTGAAATAATTTATTATTAACACCTCACTAGAAATTATTAATTGTACTGAACTGAAAAATATCTCGTATTAACTCAGTTGTAGAATTATACATAGTGTTCCGACAGAAGTTCAGTGTCTCAATAAATAAAAAAAGATTTCCGAGAATTTATTTCTTTATTTCTTTTATAAGTAAATAGTTCAACTATTTGATTCATAAAATATGCAATAATTCATACTATGTTAAAAAATTTCGGTACACTATGTATATTATATTTTTTATATACATATATAGATATATTTTTCCTTTCGAGAGAACGATCTCGATCTAAGATATATTAAAGTAGATATATTAAAGTCATTCACATGAAAGAATATAGAACAATAATAATAAGAATAATAAGAATAATAATAATAATAATAATAATAATAATAATAGGAAGCTAAGCATCATACAAATCGTTACATCAGAGAAAATTGAAATATATACTTTTTTTATTTAATTTTTCAATGTTAAAAAATATTCATTCTATCTTCAATGTTGATTTTCAAAAGAGAGAGATAGAGAATGATTGGAAGAGAAAGAGAATTGAACAAAGGAAAGTTTTGTTTCATTTTTATATTTTATTTATGTGCCTTCTTAATTTTATTTTAGATACTTCGATAAATTACAGCAATAATTGGTTTTTCTGTAAGAGATTTTGATCACAGAAATTGCTACAGAAAGTATCGTATCTTATTATATTAAATTTTATCTTTTCTTGGTACACATAAAGCATAAACTTTCGAAAGGGAACAAAACAAATAAAAATAATTTTCAATTAATTATTGGTTGATATAATACGTCACTTCTTGATTAACATTCTATTAATTTTTTATAAGATGTCTTACATCTTATAAATTATAAATTATATATAATTTATACAGGAATGTGTGACATGGAAAATCATTCCCATCGTTTTCCTCTTTTCTAATCCATTCTCATACACAAATTGCTTGCCTTAGGATTTTTCTTCTGTGTATAACAATATTCTTCGTATATTTGCCGCAATAAAATGCTGCTAATGTTCTGAATTATTTGTCAAAGAAACTGTATTAATAATTAAAAATAAAAATATATGAAATTTTGTACTTTTTAATTTATTCATTTATTGTGCCTCGATTTATTTTGTCTCAATTCAGGCATTAAATATTCGATTTTTAGCAACATTAATCTAAACTGTTCCATATATTCATAAATATCTTTTGCAGTATCGATGATATTGCTAAAAATACTATCGCACTTTAAATTTAATAAATGTTCTAGTCTATCGAGTGAACGCAGTGACGGTAATTTCTCCACAGAGATGTGAGGATAAAAAGTCTTGATTACGTGAAACTTGAACAAGTGTGAATTATTGCTCAACAATTCCTCGAACTCATTTACCGCAGAGGCCGGTAATGCGTAATACAACCTATAGGGAATATTTTTGATAGCAAACTTTTCCTCGCAATCCCTGATTTTCTTAGCGATGCTATCAAGTACCCATGATAGAGGTATGGAGCCTTGCTCGTATAAGTGAAAGTCCTGCATCAATTTGTACTTATGATTACTACTACTATGGTAGATCCTGCGAGTATTTCGCAACTGTAGCAACGCTGTCGGCAACGCATAACTGTACGAAGTATATAAGTGCACATGAGTAAGATGCGGTTTAGCCTTCAACTCCGTTGTGACATAAGACACGAGCGGTAGAATTCCGCCCTGATGTACGAAAGCGTAGAAGAAAGTCAGCAACAGATTGCTGATGTACCAAAGCATTAACTTCTTGGACGTGTGCTTCGCTGATTTGACGCGACTGGAGGATTTACCATTTCCATATCTTTGGACGATATCCAGACTAGGAACTTGACTCAGCTCAGGCGCGTAAAGAAACACTAGTGGAAAGAGCACCGGGATTATGAAACGAGGTTCCTGATGAGGAAAGAAAGACAACAAGGCGATTGGAATAATGAACGTGAATGTCATCAGACCTACAATGCTCTGCAGACGTGGTAGATGCAACCATTGTGCCTTCAGTCCGCTGAAAATGAATATTATTGTCAGTTAATTTTTTAATATCAACTATTTTGATCTATAATGTCTCTTTTTAAACAATTATAGGCTGTGTTCTGTTTCATGCATAATGATGCGCATGCATCATTTATCCTTGTTATTCACCGAATATTAAACAAGGATAAAAGATGCATTATGCACACCATATGTGAAGCGGAATGCACCCATATTATCTCCTGATATTTGTTTCTTTTCAATTAAAAAATGTTTCAGACAAAAATTTTATGATTTAAAACAAATAATGGTAAAATTAATTGTCGGAAAAAATCAATTTTCTGTGAAAACATGAAGGTCATGAATATTTCTTAAATACAATTATATGATTTTTTTTATATGATCCCTTAATTATTCTACATATACTGTTTAAAATCGGATCTCTGTATATGGCTCACCTGTGTATCATTTTCACAAATGTCAGCAATCCAATGATCCCTAGAATATTAAACAGCAATGGAATGTTTACTAAGAAATGCAGAAAACGAGGATGCAATCCATGTGATTCCAAATTTTTCGTGTTCGTATTATATTTGAGAAAATTAACCGGTGTCACCACAAAATTGTCAATTCCAACCTCCAATTGGCCTATCTCTGCCAGCGTTAAATATCCAAAATAAAAACTGTCAATTAGAATGAAAAACAACGCAGTCGGTAGTCCACAGAGAACAAAGACAATCATTCTGAGATGAAAGTCTTTGAAGCCAACGCTCATCGAGTTCAATCCTCTTTGCAGCCAGAAGAAGATGGGAACGAAGGCAAACGCGACGAAAGTCGGCCTGTTGAATATCCCTATCATCGTTAACGTGGCCACCACAAAGCAGTCGTTCAGAGAATGTGAGGGTAGCAATGCCTTGAGCTTGTAGTACTTGACTCGCTCTACGGCAGTTGCTGCTTCATTGTATTTCATGGAGAGGTAATCACTTTGCAATACCACCTGATACAAAACAGAGATTTAAAACAATGTGAGATACAAACAATAACTAAACATTGAAATCTCTTAGTTAATTATACAGATGGGAAAAGACATTCCACTAATTATTGAGCTTCGTATTCTTTTCTTCACCATAATATAAACTACATTATATATGAAAATTAAATCATTCCACCGAAATGTAATTTTCCATATAATTAACGAATTTTTTAATTTAATAATTAGATTTTTCTTAAGTTTATAAGTTCCTTTTTGCGAATCTTATTGAATGTTTTTATATAGCTTAATATTCAAAGGAGTCAAACGTACTTTCTCTGAATATGCCATGCACCGAGAAACAAAGTATAACAGTGAGGCAGTCAACACCAGTTCAATCGAGTTGGACAATGTACGGGTGGCATAGGTCAGCATGACATAGGAGCTAGCGTACGTGACAAGCCTGACTCTGTAATTCTGTCCATACAAGAAACAGATCTTGTACAGAAAATAATCTGACAGAAAGGAGAGTGCACACATAAAAAGCCGGGGGAAGAGCACAAAGAAGTATGGTCTCTTTAATGATAATCCAAAGAAGTAAAATGTATATGGAGACAGTCTGTTGAGAATTGCGTAAGGCAAACCAACGACGATTTGAGGAATGAATATAGAACGTATTGGAAAGGTGGCGTTGAACTCCCATGGCATATAGACATCAATATCAAAGTAGTTTCCTATAAAAAGTGAACAAGTATGTAAATATATATTAAATATAAAGCAAATGCTAAATATAGCAGGATGGTGACATACCAGAGATAACTTCAATGGACTGAAAGAACTCATCAGGATGAATATAGCCTGTCTGTGAAACAAAAGTAAGTACTACTCTCAATACTGCTAGAATCCAGTAGAGACCGATCCTACGCCGCATAGGTGCTGCAATTTGGTAGTCGTCGATGGATCTACGGTACTCGTTTTTGTGCTGAATACAAAAATTTTATATAGATACAAATATATAAAAGTAAGCTTGAATAAATAAGAATAACTAAAATCTATATATGTATATATGTATTAAATTGAGCAGTTTTGTTTATTTATAAAAAATGCAGAGACAAACTTTATCAAAACCTTTTCAAAATGAGATATTCACCATTTTTTTTCTAATTAAAATTTCATCTTTCAGATTTATTATATAATATTATTATTATATAATATTTATTATATAATATTACTGAGTTATCATATGCATTTTGAAAGAAAAATTTTACAAATATTAATATTAAAATGTCAAGTTACCTTCAATGACATGTTTTTTTGTTAGTTTATCATAACTTAACCTTATACAATAACAGTTCTTGGACATTCATTCATAGAAAAAAAATATGGAGTCATGAAATACCACGATTCTTTTCTAATTTATTACGACCGAGATACACAGAAAATTGCATTATAATTACGATATTCGTTATCAGAAGCATTGTTTGCGGGATACTTGTTAATTGACGAAGAATATAAAGTTTGGAATATCTTGTCTTATCTTTTATAATTAATGGCCCTGGTTCTCGTTGACGAGATAAACTTGGCCAGTCGTCTCCCAGCACCTCCAATCTTCCAACTTTCCAGGAGTCAAACCGTAGAGACGAAAAGAACTAGAATCAGAAAGAGCGTCAGTTTCCCCCCCTCCTCTCCCGACAAAAAACCCCACGCATCATTCAAGATGAATGATCCGAGCCAAGCTGCGCCACTCTCGGCCAAGTCACACTCGGATGCCGAGAAGAGAGAAGA